CACTGCAACCTCTGCCTCCTGGGTTCAAGCGATTCTCATGCTTCAGCCTCTTGAACAGCTGTAACTACAGGTGCATGCCACCATGCCCGGCTAATTTTTGTAATTTTTTTTTTTTTTTTTTTTTTTTTTTTTAGTAGAGACAGGGTTTCGTCATGTTGGCCAGGCTGGTCTCGAACTCCTGACCTCAAGTGATCTGCCTGCCTTGGCCTCTCAAAATGCTGGATTACAGGTGTGAGCCACCGTGCCTGGCCACATATAACTACTTTTAGGATTTGTTTTCTGTCTTGGGGCTTCCTGGAGGTCAAGTCTTCTGGCTGTGTCTCTAGGCCACAGTGGGGTGCAGTGCCCCACTTGGGGGGCCATCAGGGGATTCCCTATAGACAAACTGTCCAGCCCTTCCTAGCATCCTGTCCTTAGTGGGACACTGGAAGGGCACAGAGCAGGAGTGAGCAGTTAAGGGTGAGCCCCAGAAGGAGCAGAGGAAAGAAAATAAGAAGTGAGGAGAACAGGAAGCAAGACTTCTCCCTCGGCTTTCCGTGGCCCTGGGAGCTGAGCACTGCTGCCAAGCAAACACTGGTGTGGAGCAGCAAGAAGGAGAGCCCAGGCTGGATGTGGTCGGCCGCTGGGTGGAGTTAAAATGTATAACAAGGGAGAGGCAACTGAAGAAAAGAAAAGATTCTTTTAAAAATTCGGCTGATGCCTAATTAAAAAAAAATTCCACTCCCTCATGCTACGTTTTAAGAGACTTCCCTTTCAGAATTATTTTCAGTCTGGTGGTAACAGGCAGGAAGAGTGTCAGATGTTCACCAAGCTATAAAGAGGACACTCCCCACCCTCTAAAACACAGGGCCAGCCCCCACATTGCTTTTCTGACTTGGGTTATGAGGATACAGGATGTGAAGTTGTCAAGGCATAGATCTTTCCGGAAAGGAGTGTCCCATGTGGTACATTAAAAAAAAAAAAAAAAAATGGCTGCAGTATTTTGCAGCTTCTCCCACCAAGAGGTGCAGTCAGTTTCACCAGCCCTTGAATCTGGGTTATACTACTCACGGGACATCAGGACACCTAATGCAAGCAGAAGCTTGACAAGTGCTTGCACAGGGGGGTTTGCTCTCTTTTGCTATTTTTGGAATCCAGCCATCATGTGAAGAAATCTAGACTGGCTTACTAGAGACACATAGCCTGGTCACCCTTGTGGATCTCTCCAAGGTTCCAGGCACATAAGTGACACCATCTGGGACCACCAGGCCTCAGACAGTCCTCATGTGACTGTAGCCACATATACAAGTTCAGGTGAACTCAGCAGAAGAACTTCCCAGCTAAGCCCAACCCAAACTGCCATCTCCTAGGATGGTGAGCTAATTAATAATTGTTGTTTTAAGCCACTTAAGTTTTGGATATTTTAAAAATATGGTGCTATGGTCTCAATGTTTGTGTTGCCTGGAAATTAATATGTTGAAACCTAATCCCCAATTTAGGGGCATTAAGAGGTAGGGCCTTTGGGAAGTGATTAGATTATGAGAATGCAGCCCTCCTGAATGGGACTTGTGCACTTATAGAAGAGGCCTAGGGGAGCTTGTTTGCCCCTTCTGCAATATGAAGACACAGCAAAAAGATGCCGTTTATGAGGAACGGGACTTCACGAGATACCAAATTTGCCAGTACGTTGATCTTGAACTTCTCAGGCTCCAAAACTGTGAGAAATACATTTCTGTTGTTTATAAGTTACCCAGTCTGTGGTGTTTTGTTATAGCAGTACAGATGGACTAAGACAGATGGCAAAACCAACCAACCAACCTACTAATACAGTCTGAGTCACAGGTGGAAAAATCCATGTAGAAATAACCACCTTACAACCTTGTATAGGAAAGCTATTATAACGGTGTGTTTTGTCCTGTTCAAGCTGCCATAACAAAATACCACAAACTGGGTAGCTTTTAAGCAGCAGAAATATATTTGTCCCAGTTCTGGAGGCTGGGAAGTCCAAGATCAAGGCATTGAGGATGGCAGATCTGGTGTCTGGTGAGGACCTGCTTTCTGGTTCACAGACGGTGTCTCCTTACTGTGTCTTCATGTGGTGGAAGGGGCAAGCTAGCTCTCTAGGTCTCTTTTATAAGATCAGTAAAGCCATTCATTCATGAGAGCTCCACCTCTATGACCTAATCACTTCCCAAAGTCCCCACCTCCTGATATCATCACATTGAGGGTTAGGTTTCAACATTCAGACCATACCCTAGAGCGATTCAGAGTGTGGGCTTTGAAGCCAGGCAGGTTCAGTCCTGCCACTCGGATATAATCTTGGACACCTTTGGTAACAACGGTAACAGTGACAGTACATGCTTTGCAGAGTTGTAATGAGAACTGTGTCGGCCAGGGTCACACACCTGCATTAGGATAACTTGAGGAGAGTTTATACAGGGACTACTACATCTACAAAGATGTGGTCAGGGTTCAGGGAAACACAAGAGAGGGTGTAGTGCCCTGGGGTTGTGATAGCACCCAGGTGGGAAGCAAGGACAGGGCATGGTGATGAGAAGCTGAGGACAGAGCAGCAGGGTCAAGAGGGCTGCTTAACAGGACCCATAACCTTGTGTTGAGAAACGAGCCTGTTCTGCAGTGACATGGCTGGGAGGGGGCTGGGAGAATACAAACTCTGATCTAACTTCTTCCTCTTGCCTATTTTTGCCAGTGATCCTCCTTGGCCAAATCCAACTGGAAGCCACTGGGCTTCAAATCAGCCTCCTGTGGCAAAACGCAAGGTGGAGAAGGTGGGAGAGTAGATCTGGGGCAAATGGAAGGTATCCAGTTCACGGATTTAAAAGCAATAATGCATAGGAAAGCACTGATCATGTACCTAGCACCGAATCACTGTTTGCTGTAATATTATTATATTATCAGAAGAAACCAAGAGCTATGGGTGGCAGAAGAGGAATTGAGTATTTTTTTTTTTTTTTTTGCTAGGGTGACCTGCAGAATATTCATGGAGGAGGTCTGCTTTGAGTTGTGGCTTGGAGAGTTGAAGAAAATAATAGAGCAAACACTGACATGGAACCTACTATGTGCAGCTACCATTCTGGATGTCATACATACATTAATTTGTTTAGTCCTCATATCTACTTTATGGGGTAGGTACTGTGATGGTTAGTATTAAGTGTCAATTTGATTGGATTGAAAGATACAAAATATTGATCCTGGGTGTGCCTGTGAGGGTGTGGCCAAAGGAGATTCACATTTGAGTCAATGGGCTGGGAAAGGCAGACCCACCCTTAATCTGAGTGGGCACCATCTAATCAGCTGCCAGTGCGGCTAGAATATAAGCAGGCAGAAAAATGTGAAGAGAGACTGGCCTGGCCTCCCAGCCTACATCTTTGTCCCATACTGGATGCTTTCTGCCTTTGAACATTGGACTCCAGATTCTTCAGTTTTGGAACTTGGACTGGCTCTCCTTGCTTCTCAGCCTGTAGATGGCCTAATGTGGGATGCTGTGATCATGTGAGTTAATACTTAATAAACTCCCATATACATATACAAACACACACACATATATATACACACACACACATATCTATTCCATTAGTTCTGTCCCTCTAGAGAACCCTAATACAGTACATTATCCCACTTCACAGATGAGAAATTGAGGCAGAGAGAAGTTGGATAACTCAGTCAAGGTCACACAGTAATAAGTAATGGAGCCAGGATTTGAACCAATTTCAAAGAGGGTGTGGGACACAGCATTTGTTTCTTAGGCACAGAGCTGAAAAATGCACATAGAGGAAGCAGTGAGTCATTCACACGGACTAGTGTGGGGTTTGTGCTGGAGAATGGGGAAAGACAGTCTGGGGACAGAGCCAAGGACCAGAATGATGGGCGGAGGAATTTGTCCTCCATTCTGGGAGGCTCTGGGAAGCCACTGAGGACTTCAGAGAAGAGAAAGGCAATCACAGTGGGGCACCAGGAAATTTATCTGTGTGCAAGGCCAAACTAACAAAGCAGGGAGCAACTGGAAGCCAGGCAGTCAGCCAGAGGATACTGCAGCAGTCCAAGCACTAGGTGATGAGGGCTTGAATGAGGATGATAGCAGCCTAGATGGAGGGAAGAGACAAGGGCGTTGCGCTGCCAGGGGAAGCACAACAGGACTTGGGAACTGAAGTACGGGATGTGTCAAGTAGGGGCTGAAGAAACAGAAACAGATGGGAAGTTTGGGAGCCAGGTGATAGGTAAGTGATAGTATCAGATGTATCATTCAGCAACACTTAGTGTAAAAAGTGTTGGAAAAAAAAGTGTATATCAGCCAGTCTTGCGTGTTCTTTAGCTACAGTGTACATGTTAATAAGTCGTACCACTCCCACACACCGCAATCAATTGCGAAATAGCAATCTATTTTGCAATATCAGCTCCTGGTAAATTTCACTTGTGAGCCTGAAACAAGGATGGGGTGGATTCAAGGACCTCCCCCTAAGGCAGTGAGAGGACCAGGGTTGCAGGACACTGTCAGTTTCGTTCTGGGGCAGCCAGAAGGATGCTTGGTTGCCCAGCAACAATGCTGCCTCCGCAGCAGCTTTGGTTTCCTGCAGTCCCGGATGCATCTCATTAAAAGGATAGAGGGATGGATGGCCGACACATTTTCTGAAGTGTCATTTTCAGCGTCCGGAGTCCTGGTATCTTGTTTATAAGTGGCACTTACAAAATACAAGGGAAAGAAAAAGAAAAGGGGAGAGGAAGAAAGGTCTCCTAGGATCTCAAGCATGCAATGCGTGGATCTCGACTCTCCAATTTCAGCTTGTCTAAGAGACGGGGTGCACAGCCTCCTTGAAATCCACCTGAAATGAATTAGCCTGAAGTAAAAGTAGGTGTTTATCTCAAGTCATTGCCTCAAATAGCTGACTACCTGTTGGAAGAAGGGTCTGATCGATGCAAACCAGAGCAGTCGTGCGTGAGCTGTTACACAGCGGTTAGTATCGATCAGAGCTAAAGGCTGCCGATAGGAATGTGGAGGAAACTGACAGGCAGAGAAGAGGGAAGAAGGAAACAGCCTTCGCTGGTGGCAGCCGTACAGAGGAAAGCCGATAAAAAGTCAATTCCACTTAACTGAATGGCTGCTAACTAAATATTTTTGGGGCCAGAGCCTTCCCAGGTAGCAGCTGGAGCATCTCTGTTCCGGAACTGAGACATCAAGCGAGAGCTGGGCATCGACAGGCATGATCACTGGGCCCTGGTGATGGATGGGGGAAGAAGAGAGCCCCTAGATGCAGAGATGGGAGTGTTTGGGCTCAGCCGAGCTGACTGGGGCACTCGAGGACCGCCACTGACCACAGAGCACTGCTCACAGGCAAGAAAGGAACAGGGTGCAGGCTGGATGTTATGGAACAGTTGCTGATTAATTAGTTCATTTAAAACCATGATCCTTTTTCCTGAACCTCAGTAAGGGCTGTTGAAACTAACGGCTGCAGAGAAAGTTGGACAATGGCTGGTCCTATCACAGACAGAAGCAGAATGGTGCCATGTAGTGTAGTTAAAAGACTGGTTGATGACTTATTTTCCTGAACTTTTATGCCCTCCGAAGGATTGTAGTTCTTTTCCTTGAATTAGATGTGAACACGTAACTTGTTTGGCCAATGAAATTTGAATAGAAGTGATGCATGTCCCTGCTGGGTAGAAGCATTTAATTACTGGTATACAACCTTCCTGTTCTTTGCTTGCCACTGTGATCCTGGGTACTAGTGTTGATATGGATAAGAGTGAAACCGTCTGGAATGTTAAGCAAATGGATGGATAATTTTCCAAAACTGCAATGAATTTTGTGTGAATAAGGAATAAACTTTTATTGTGTCACATCACTTAATTTTTGGGCTTGTTTGTTACCCAGCATAACTGAACCTTTCCTGACTAATACAGGGGGGCTGGGTTTTAGAGTCCTGTCTCTACCAGTTGTTACTATTTGGGTGATTTGGTCTATTTCTTAATCCACCCCAATCTTGTTTTATTTATATAAAGCACATGAAAACAGCAACGACAACAAATTACCATGTGCTGAATGCTCACAGGTGCAGGCATGGCAAAAGCTCTGCATATATTAACTTGATTAATTCTCAAAGCAACCGTGTGAAGAATCTATTCTTATCTTCATTTTACAATGGTGAAACCTAGCACTCAGAGAGGTTGAAAGAATTCCCCATGGTCACACAGCTTATAAATGACAGGCAAGAGTTCAAACCCAGGCAGACCAATTCCAGAACACTTTTTCTTAACCATTTTCCTATACTGCCTCTCAGCTTGGGTACTTAATAAATGACAGGTACTGTAAGCCCAGGAATAAATTCATTGACTGACCCGTACTCAAGCACTCCATATGGGAGGAGAAGAAAAAAAGATTGCATTTCTTTTGATCTTTTACCATTTTATACTCCCTATTCCCTTACAAGCCTATGTAGGGTTTGATCCTGTCTGAAATATCCTTCTCCACTTGTTCCCCAAATCCTGGTTATTTCTAAAACTCCAGATCAATTCCCCACTCATTTGCGATACAAACAAGGGAATTCCTTAGCATTAGAAGAGACCATCAGAGAATACCTTTCGGAAGAGTTTCTCATCTATATAACTGGGATAATAACACTGACCTCATGGGGTTGTTGGAGTAATGCTCATTTTTTATCAGTTGAACCCCAAAGAGATCCTAGGGAGAAAGCGGCATTACACTGAACAAGTGCCTACTTACTTTGTGCTAAGTCTCTCCTTAAACCTTCCCCACACTCTTCCAAAGGGGATACCACTGACCCCAGATGACCGGTGGAGAAACTGAGCCTCAAAGAGTTGAAGTGAGCCAGGCATGGAGGGGCATGCTTGTAATTCCAGCACTTCGGGAGGCCAAGGTAGGTGGATTGCTTGAGGTCGGGAGTTTAAGACCAGCCTGGCCAACATGGTGAAATCCCATCTTTACTAAAAGTACAAAAATTAACCGGGTGTGGTGGTGGGTTCCTGTAATCCCAGCTACTCAGGAGGCTGAGGCATGAGAATCGCTTGAGCCTGGGAGGTGGAGGTTGCAGTGAGCCCAGATCACACCATTGCACTCCAGCCTGGGTGGCAGAGACTCTCTCTCTCTCTCTCTCTCTCTCATACACACACACAGAGTTGAAGTGATATCTAGTGTCCGTCTCTATTTTCTCTGAGCCTGTATGAGACCATTTCACAATTGTGAGGAGTAACAGTCTTCTAAATACCTTAATTAGGAGATCTTCTTTGCCCTCTGCTTGTCAAATGCTGGTTACTTGAGAAATGAATTCTGTTTACTGATATATCAATGTATTGACGTGTACAGTGTGTGCATATGTGTGCGTGTGTGCATGCAGATGTGTGCGCATGTGCGTGTATGCGCCCGTGCATACGTGTGTGTGTGTGTGCATGTGTGTGTATGTGTGTGTGTGCATGTGTGCGTGTGTGTGCCCAGTCACCAATGTCTGGTGGCTCTTTTCAACCGATATTTTGGGCATGGGCTAAGGAGAGTGTGCTCAGGCTATTTTAAGTTTCTGTACTTAATGCTTAGCAATTTTAATAAACTTCATTCCGTTAGGTAGTTGACTTAATATTTTAAATATGGTTTTAATTAACCATCCTCCTTGTGTTTAAGGCAAAAGCAGGAAAACAGGGAAAGCGTGTAACCCGAGAGCTTTGCCAGTGATTCCACTCTTTGTGACAATGAAGGCCAGAATTCCAGAATGCAGAGGCGAGAGCTCTCCCAAAATTGTTTCTTAGGGCATAGACCTATAATGCTTAAATCATTTCTAATCCCACTGGGTTCTGTTATCCCAGCACAGACTGTAAACATTTATTTTTGGGCTTTCCCAGAAATGTGTCTTATGGAAGGGATTAGCTGTTTGCGCATGTAAAGTTCCGAAGGTGAGCTCCTCTAACCTAACCCACATAATTAAAGTGGAAAATTTTTGGTGGAGGAAAAAAAACACATCAGGGAAAATACCATGTTTGGAAAGAGAGCTGTACTCCTACAGTCTCAAGAGATGGCTCTGCGTTCTCCGGCACTTAATTATATCCCATCTTGCTATGTGCTCCAATTCTTTCATCCTTTTGGTCTTTGCAGACAATACCAGGATCCCTGGCACCATACGCTCTTCTCCGAGAGGGTCTACAATGTCTAGCTTTGCAGTGAGACAGTAGGCAACTGGAGGACAAGGAGAGTGACACTGACATGGAGCCAGTGACTGGGTTTACACTATCATTTTAAAACATGAGGTTCATCACTTTTTAAAGTGTGCAGTATATAGGGAAGAAAATAAAAAAGAACAAAACAAAACAAGGGTTTGGTTTTGTTTTTGTTTTTAAGACAGAGTCTTGCTCTGTTTCCGAGGCTGGAGTGCAGTGGAGGCGATCTCAGCTCACTGCAACCTCCGCTGCCCAGGTTCAAGCGATTGTCCTGCCTCAACCTCCCAAGTAGCTGGGATTACAGGCACCTGCCACCACACCTGGCTAATTTTTAAAAAATTTTCAGTAGAGGCCGGGTGCGGTGGCTCAAGCCTGTAATCCCAGCACTTTGGGAGGCCGAGATGGGTGGATCACAAGGTCAGGAGATCGAGACCATCCTGGCTAACACGGTGAAACCCCGTCTCTACTAAGAAATACAAAAAACTAGCCGGGCGAGGTGGCGGGCGCCTGTAGTCCCAGCTACTTGGGAGGCTGAGGCCGGAGAATGGCGTGAACCCGGGAGGCGGAGCTTGCAGTGAGCTGAGATCCGGCCACTGCACTCCAGCCTGGGCTACAGAGCAAGACTCCGTCTCAAAAAAAAAAAAAAAAAAAAAAAAAAAAAATTTTCAGTAGAGACAGGGTTTCACTATGTTGGCCAGGCTGGTCTCGAACTCCTGACCTCAGGTGATTCATCTGCCTCAGCTTCCCAAAGTCCTGAGATTACAGGCGCGAGTCACCATGCTGAGACCAGACAGTCTTCTTTAAAAATGCAAATGGCTAGGGGCACTAGTAGACATTTGTCACCAACCCCTCTGCAACTGCAGCTTTGTGCCTGAGTTAGTGGTGCTGGTTCTGGAGTTAGACCCTCTGAGCTGCACTCCAGGTCCTGTCCCTTGCTGGCTCTTGTTAACTTCTTTGTGTCTCAGTTTCTCTATCTGTAAAGTGGGAATAATAATAGGACTTGTTTTCTAGGGTTGACATGAGAATTCAATGAAAGAATATATGAAAATACCATGAGAACAAGTCAATGCACAGCATTACATAGCAGGACCTGCAAAAGGTCAGCTACTATGCCTGTTATAGATAATGAACGCCTAAAAATAAATCATTTAAAAAAAAAACAACTTCCCTTGTGAAGTACTTGATAAACACGATTCATGGTCCAGAGTGTTTGATGTACATGACTCATACAATCTTTCACTCAACCCTAAGGAAGTAGGTTCCAGTAAAAATCCATTTCACAGAGGAGGGAACACAAAAGCAAAATGTAACTTGCCCAAAGTCATGCAGCTAGGTCAAGCTGGGCTTTGAGGGCACGTCTGATTCTTCCTACTGGGCCAGCTAAGACAGGGTAGTTTTAAGAGGGGAACACAGAGAGACAGAGAGACTTTAGGACCCAGAGATGCTAGTCAAAGTGTGAGCTGACGCAATGAGTGCCACAGGGTGGGAGGGATATCCAGAGGAGAGGACCAAAGCATCAAAGGAACTTTGCCTTTACCTGATTTTGCCTAGGGCCAGTACAATATCTGATTTCTTTTGTGGTCTCCAATGTTGCCTGGAGCAGGGAGTTACCAAAAGCCACAGGACCTGGGATCTGAGTCCTAAAACTAGGTACTGTATTCCAGTTCTACCACATATTCTATGATCTTGGCAACTCACATTCCTTTCCCAGCAAGTTTCATTTTCTGGGAAATGGGGATCAGAAATCGAGGCTCCCCTACCTCACGGAGCTGTTGTGAGGCTCAAATGTTTGGGGATGCTTAATTGCTCGGTTAACTAGAAAGCACTGCACAGAGATGCTAGATATTATTACTGGCTTGATGCCTCCCTGTGAATGCAAGAGGGATGCAGGTCCAGTGCAGTGGCTCACACCTGTAATCCCAGTGCTTTAGGAGACCAAGGTAGGAGGATTGCTTGAGGCCAGGAGTTCAAGACCAGCTTGGGCAGCATAGTGAAACCCTATCTCTACAAAAATTTAAAAATTAGTCCCATGTGGTGGCACACAACTGTAGTCCCAGCTACTCAGGAGGCTGAGGTGGGAGGATCACTTGAGCCCAGGAGAATGAAGCTACAGTGAGCTATGATTATATCACTGCACTCCAGCCTGGGTGACAGAGGAAGACTCTGTCTCAAAAAAAAAAAAAAAAAAAGAGTGGAGAGGGGATGCACTTGGTCCTTCAAAACTTTGATTTAGAGAGGACCCAAATTTGTGCCTCTCTGGATAAAACTTTATGGTGTCAGAGATCCTGGTATTGTCTGGAGTCAATTCAAGAAGAGGGAAGGAGACTGGGAGCCTCGTGGATGAAGGTATTATGATAGCAGGTTTCAGGAACATGCTGTAATCAGCTTTCTCCTCTCTGTAGTTCCACTCCTAGCAATTTGAGGCCAGCTGGGGACTGGATGATGTCCTCTCTGATGCATTGGAATTTGTCCGGCTTTATGGTCTGGTCTGCTAGAGGACCACATATCACACAGAGACACAAAGCAATTGACAGCATCCCGGCCGTTTCTTACAGATCCAATATCCTGTGTCTAGGCTGTATTTCAGGCCAACTTTTAGTGAAGTGGATCAATGCTTGAAGCACATAATGTAACATGATTCTTCAAGAGTTTGATTAATTGTGTCACAGTCACAGCCTCAGTTCAGGTTCAACCTTTTAAAAGTTTTATTATTGTATAAAGTGATCAATCAGGAGGAGAGGGAAGACAAATGCTCGATGTTGGCCATCTCTCCCTCTCGTCTTCGTCAGCAAGCATTCTTCTCCTGGTCAGTTCGGCTGGATCATGATGGAGAAATTCATGAAGATGCATGGCACAGCAAAATATGGACCACCAAAGAGTGCTCTGAGTGGAAGTCCAGCTCCTCCAGTGCTGACCAACCTTGGCAACACACAGGAGGCCCTGGGGTGTTTTAAGAAGGTCAGAGCCCTGTATTTCACCCACAGAAGTTCTGATGCTCTTGGTCTAGGGCCTGGTCTGGGCATCTCTTGGGGATTCTAATGTGTAACTGAGTGTTATGGTGGAATTATGTCCATAACCTCCAGTATCCCAGAATGTGACTGTATTTAGAGATAATACCTTTAAGGAGGTAACTAGGGGCTGAGTGCGGTGGCTCATGCCAGTAATCTCAGCACTTTGGGAGGCTGAGGTGGGTGGATCACCTGAGGTAGACCAGCCTGGGCAACATGGCAAAACCCCGTCTCTACAAAAAATACTAAAGAGGCTGGGCGTGGTGGCTCACGCCTATAATCCCAGCACTTTGGGAGGCTGAGGTGGGTGGATCACCTGAGGTCAGGAGTTCAAGACCAGCCTGGGCAACATGGCGAAACCCCGTCTCTACAAAAAATACTAAAGAGGCTGGGCGTGGTGGCTCACGCCTATAATCCCAGCACTTTGGGAGGCTGAGGTGGGCAGATCACCTGAGGCCAGGAGTTCAAAACCAGCCTGGCCAACATGGTGAAATCCCATCTTTACTAAAAATACAGAAATTAGCCAGGTGTGGTGGTGGGTGCCTGTAATCCCAGCTACTTGGGAGGCTGAGGCAGGAGAATCACTTGGAAGAAAAAAAAAAAAAAAAGAGGTAATTAGGGTACATTGAGGGCATATGGGTGGACCCTAATCCAATAAGACTGGTCCTTTAAAGAAGAGGAGATTCGGACACAGACACACAGAGCAAAGACCATGGGAACACCCGGGAGGAAATGGCCAGCTACGAGCCAAGGTGAGAGGCCTCAGAAGAAACCAATCCTGCCAACACCTCGATCTTGGGCTTCTGGCCTGCAGAATTATGAGAAAATACATTTCTGTCATTGAAGCCGCCTAGTTTGTCATACTTTCTTTGTGGTATTTTGGGGGTTCCTGTCCACCAACTTCCGTTTTCTCCATCTCCAGATTCCTCTCTTGGGTCATATCCTGTTAGAAGCTGCTCTCACAGTAATCCCCAAGAAGGTATTAGCTGAACTTAAGGTTTTAGCCCTCTCACAAGTACCTGCATTTTAATACGGGATTCTTACCTGGAGTAATCTAGGTAGCTGAGATGCATTTGGACTGATGGCTTTCCAGTCATCATAGCTGTAGTGACAGCCAATACTTACTATGTGCCAAATACTGTTCCAAGTGCTCTCTCTGTCTCTCTGTGTCTGTCTATATCTATGTCTACATCTGTATCTAATATTCATTCGTTGAATCCCCCCAATAGCCCTATGAGGTAGGTGTGCTTAAAAGAGGAAGCTGAGGCACAAAAGGGTTGAGTAATATATCCAAGGTTTTAGAGACAGTAAATGGTAGAGCTATGATTTGAACCCAGGAAGTCTGACTTCAGGTACCATGCTTTTAACCACTCACCACTCAGATGACCTCAATGGCCCCTAGCAGGGTCAGAACAGACTTTGGGGACTAGCTTTGTTTTTCTAACAATAGCTGTTAGTGACCTTCCCTGTTAGTCTCCCCACCTCTTTTTTTTTTTTCCAGAGACAGTCTTGCTCTGTTACCCAGGTTGGCATGCAGTGGCATGATCATGGCTCAGTCCTGGTCTCAAGTGATCCTCTTGCCTCAGCCTCCCTAACAGTTGCGACCACAGGCATGTGCCACACCCAGCTAACGAAACATTTTTTTTTTTTTTTTAAGATATGGGGTCTTGCTATATTGCCCAGACTGATCTTGAACACCTGGGCTCAAGTGATCCTCCTGCCTCAGGCTCCCAAAGTGCTGGGATTACACGTGTGCCCCACTGTACCTGGCTCCCTGTTAGTTCTTATTTCTCTATTTCTAAGTGCCTGAGACAGTACCCTCTGTGGGAGATTTTTTTTTTTTATTGTTTCCAAATATTACCTTTCCCTATGGGAGGATTATCCTTCTCCCATCTCATCAACATCAGACTTGGCCATGTGACTTGCTTTGGCTGCCAATAAAATGTGAGAGGAAGTGATGTTTGCTACTTTTGAGCAGAAACTTTAAAAGTCATCATGCAATTTTTCTCTTCTCCCTTCTAGCATGAGAATACTTTGAAGCTAGGCCCAAGCAGCAACTTCAGCTCAGGTCTTGGAATAAAGACAAAATAGAGGGGAGATGCAATCAACCTGTGAGCAAAAAAAATGTATATTTGTTGCAAGCCACTGAGACTCAGGGGTTGTTTGTTACTGCATCATTACTTAGTAAAAACTGACTGATACACTCTCTGAATACCAATATATTTAAGTGAAATGCCAGGACTGTTGTAAGGATAATATCTTTAATCAATAAGCAAACTCTTAAATAACCAATAAACTATATTATAGCTTATCCAAGAAATCTTGCAAAACAGCTTTCTACCTTCTGTGAATACTTTCTGTGCATCTATCCATCTCCATCTCAGAAGGCTAAAAGATCATAAACCCTTGCCTAGCTCAGTACATATGGAGTTCATTCACCACTCAATATGTACAAAGAGAATCAGAAGGAAGAGATGGAGAAGACTAAATGTTATTTTAGGTTCCAGGACATTGGATGGAATGGGAGAGAAAAAGGATTTATTTTCTTTCATAGATGGGAATTAGTACAAAGGCCTGATGAGACTGTCCCTTATCCAAGGACAGAGAATGAAAGAACTTGTCAATGTAAATTATCCATTCCAAGCTTTCGACCCTGCTGCCATTTTTGGTTCCAAATTGCTCATGTTTCTTAGAGGCTGCAAACTTACGACCTATGAACTGAATGTGGCCTGTGGAAGTCTTTTAACATACCAAATAAAACACTATTCTATGTGCAGATGTTTGAATCAAATTGATTGCCAACAATCAAAATTTGAGATATTTCAAGTTAAAAAAAATAGTTCAAGCTTCTCTTAATTGAAAGCCTTGGTTACACTGGGCTTAGGAAACTTCAACTAGAGTTGAGCAGCAGCTGCTTCTTAGGCTGGGCATAGTTTCCATAGTCCCTACCTCTCCCTATT